GAAAAAACATATTGATTTAGAGACCAGGGAACCTAAAGATTGAATACACTGCATCATAATATTCAGAAAACCTTCAAAAAAGTTTCAGGTGACTAATTAATGAATAAAGTTTGCAAATGTGGTTTGGAAAATAGATTTTTAAGATGGTTAAAGAAAAGATTAGAAACAAGGTAACTAGCACAGAATTTGGGTTACTACATGCAAATCCTCTGTGAAAACTGGGACCAATACCCTTTAAAAATCTAAATTCATGGATTAGATCATTGCATTTGCAGATGATAGTAACATATTCAAGGAAGACTGAGGACCCAAAAAGGATACCATATATGGTGATAAACAATAGAGTACAAGACTGAAGAATGGCAGAACAAAATGGTAAAGGTGAATGAGGCTGGCACAGTATAAATAATGGCAGAAAGACTTCATTTGTCCCATCATTGCTGATGAACAGAAACAGAAGAAAATGAAAAGTAACACCATGGAATGTGTTTCTTAAAACAATTCATAATGCCACCATCTCCTACTACAGATTCCCCCAAGACTACCATTCCTACAAAAACGCAGTCAGATGGTGGTTAGATTGAGGGGCGCTTTGAAAACAGTTTGTATTTATTGTTGAAATACTGCATGTATTCTATCCCACACCAACACTTTTGATATGTCGCTTGCCTTCTCCAATATTACTCTCTTCAGCGCAGCAACTGTGATTTTCTATATGAGTGAATATAGTATTTGGCAGTCTGTGATTGGTATCATAATACAGATTGGATCTTCCTGGCGCAGGAGACCTGCAGAAACCTGACCGGTCTGGAACCAGGAATTTTGCCAGACCAAGGGAGGTTAATGCCAGCCCCTCTGCTGTCTGCCTCTGGGCTCCACTGCTGGGGAGAGGGGGCACACTGCTCCCTTCCATTCTCTAAGCTCCCCTCCCAGCCCCACTGATTCCCGGTCCCTGGTTGGCCCCCATTCTCCTTGCCATAAGCCCTGGACAGGCTCTGCTCCCAACCTCCAGGGCTCTCTGGCTAAGCAGAATCACTTGTCTCACTGCCACAGTTTTTCTCTGTGAGTGCTCCAACCCCAGAGCACCCACAGGGACCCCATGGATGTTGCCACACCACATAGTCCCGGACTAGAGATGTTGAAACTGTACAAACAAAAGAATGCACAAGTTGTACAGGAAAATCTTGATTAAGCAAATGGGCAAAGAGGTGGTATACACAATTTAACATGTAAGCATAAAATTACGTACTTCGATACAATATGCAAAAATTATGTACGATTTAAATAGCACTAGCCTTACAACAGAGTGTGAAATGGCTCTGGGTACCTCAATGAAAATAATATTTAGATACCTGATCCACTATGTAGCTGAAGTAAAAAAAAAACAATTAAGATATTTCCTTGTATCAACAAGGGCCTCTAAATCTGAGAGGGACAACTGTGAATATCTAGTCTGATCCCTAGGGTTGCCAGATAGTTTCAGAAAAAATACCAAACAACAAAAAAATAAAAATAAAAACACACCAGGAAAAAGTTTGTTGGGTGGGGTGGGGAGGCGGGGGATGGGACCCAGGGAGTTGTTAAGCAAGAAAAAAAAAAACCCAAATACCGGGGCCCTTTTAAAAACCGCGTTATGAGGGCTTTTTGGCCATTTGCCATCTTGCCTCCCTGCACAGGACCAGACAGCTCCCTGCCGAACTCAGTAAGCACTTGGGTTGCCAGGCTGCTTCCGTATTGAGCCGGTCAGCCCAGGATTTTCGCCTCCTGGCCAGGAAAAAAAAAATCAGAAAGTACCGGACATTTTAAGTGTCCGGTATTTTCTGAATTATTTTTTTTTTTTACCAGACAGGAGGAGAAAATACTGGACTATACGATGCAATACTGGATACCCGGCAACCCTACTGATCCCCTGCACAACACAAGGAATAGAATTTGCCCAAAAAAACATTTGTGGAGCAGATCATCATTCAATTATTGGAACGTATTGCTGAATTTTAGACACTTTATGCAGAGAACAAGAGAGTTAAGTTGCAGAGTGAACAATATATGGAGCAGATCCTAACTGGAATAGAGGGACTTTCATATGAAGAAAAACAACACAAAATTGGTTGTTTAGTCTTAAGAGAAGACCACTAAAATATGAAAAAGTTAAACAATTTAAACGTATCAAAATTAAGTCTAGTGACTGAGGTCACAGGACAAACCAGAATTGTTTATTCTCACTAGCTCTAGAGGGATTAGGTTTCATATCAAGAGACAATACATGTAATAATTTAAGAAGATGGTATATTGTAGGTAGCGTGGAATGAACAGATAAATGAAACAGACTTCCAGTTGAAGTAGTGGAGTAAAATAGCATAAGTGCAATTAAAAAAAAGAGGATGACGATACAAATTAATACATTTAGTGGTAGTGTGGTTGAATATTTGGTCATTTTAAAATGGTATTATGTGGGAGATCGGAGTAACTATAAATGGCCGTTTAGAGGACATCTGTGACTAGAAAAGAAAATAACTTAAATTTGTAAAAGAGCTTAAAAATTTGTAAAGAAAACAGTTCCAGACAGGAGGTGTCCATGGCCCACACAACAGACGTAATTTAAATCCTGTCTCCTTCTCCACAGACAATACCAGCAGGAAAAACAGTGACACTTACGTATGATACACTTACATAAGGGAGAGCGTGAGAGAGACGTACTGTAGCTACTTGTGTAAGGACACATGTACTAAGAATAGAATATGAGAGGAGGAATGCATGGCTATTAATGAAAAGTATCAAAAAGTAGTAAACCGCTAGGAAGTAAGGTTAGCTTAATATAATGTTAATAAAATGCAATTATCTACATTTAATCATAAAAGGCCTTTACCTGAAGCAATAATTTGTGCAAGACAACACCAACATTTTATAAAAGGAGCTTACCAATAAGGAAAGTGGTTGCAATGAAGAGACATACCTTCTCCATTAAGCAGCATTCAGTTGGCACTCAAGAGACTTGCTGCTTAATTAAATATTATGAATATTTTTCTGTTAAGGGAACTGTTCCTTGCCTTCTTAAAATGAAACGAGTGTAGATTTAACTCATCAGTGGCATCGTGGGTATGTGTGACCAAACATTATTTTATAAAAAAAAAGAAAAAAAAAAGAAATGCCCACACATTGACACACACTGAGAAACAGGGTTGAATAAAGGAACTATAAATTTAACAGATTCATACCACTTGGTTTCTTATGTAAAACAGACTGAATCCTTGATGCATATCAAATCGTTTTCTGTTGCAGAGTGGACTGAACACAAAACTTTAAAAAACTGAATGTTAAATAAACATCTGCTCCCAGGCCCTCTTCTCAAAGAGCAAGGCAGGCAAGTGACTTCATACCTGCCTTATATAGAATTAGAAAACATCCTTTTTTACACTTACACAGAGAAAACAAAGAGGATCTTGTAATTACTGCACACAACTTGGAATAAGGAGATCTGGGCTCTAATCCTGAATCTGTCATGAAATGTGTGTGTCAACTTTACAACATCTAACTCAAGTGGTTGACAGTGTTCAGATGGAAGGCAACACAGAAATGCACAATATTAAACTCATCCAGGCACTTACCTGATTAACGAGCAGATGAATTTCTATAATAATGTGGATTATTTCAGATATGTGAGAAGTATGAGCCTCATTTTATATACTATCACGTAATTCAAATGAGCAGTAGAACTGAGCCTTGCTAAGTACCATGGTAGCAAAGGAACTAGGAGTGTTTGGAAGAATATTCATTGGTACCAAATACTCAGATCTCAGTTCCAATATTTTTCTAGATGGTTCCAGGATTCATTGAACTGAGGCAGCAATCCCAGGAGTGGAGGGAATTCTCAATGCAAATAAAAATAGCTCAATATTTTGGGACTGATGTTCACAAGCAGCAGCAGCAAAATCCATAAGTTAATTAGGAGTATAGGTAGAGGGGAACCTGGATACACAGGAGCTTGTTGGGAAGTTCTGGGTATAATGATAATAGCGGGGGATCCAAGTAAAGGTGTTTGAGGCTCAGTGGTAGGATGGGTTTAGGTGCAGGGTTTCAGATGCTGAGGGACGGAAGGTCGGTGGGGTGGGGATCTGGGTGCAGGTGGCTCAGTGGGAGGGTTCCTCCTTGGGGGATGGGATAGTGTAGGTATGAGGGGCTCTGGATGCATGGGCATTGGCAGACGGGGGAACAGCTTCCTGTACAAGGACCCCCTTTGCTGGAACTGAGGCATGATGGGTGCAAGAAGCAAGAGGTGGGGGTGGGAAGTTTGATGAGCTTCCTGTACCCAGGAGAGAAGTCTGGGGGTGGTTTAACCCAGCGATGCAGGGGAAGAGGAGGTCCTGTCCTCCTCAGCCCAGCTGGGACTAGCAGCAGAACCTGGCACAGGGCATGGGCGATCAGCCACGTCTTCCCTCATCTTGCCCCCTTCCCCACAGAGATTTACCTCTCTGATGGCTGCCCTGAGCACCTTAAACATAATGGTGGGGAGGGCTTCATGACTGCTCTTGTGGCTTCTCTGTCAGAAAATCATTTTTCTGCAGGGAAGCAAAAAAAATCTGCAGTGGACAAAGTCTGTACATGCACAGCAGTGCAGAATTCCCCTATAGAAGTCACAAATAAACAATGAGGTTAATTAGCTTAATTTACATTAAGAAGTTTTATATATCTACCCCCTAAAGTCTCAGTGAAGTCAACCTAGAAGTCACTTATAAAGAAAGCCCCACTCCCAACACAAACCTGCAGTCAATACTTCAACTTCAGTAAGTGTGCAAGCCTTGATTAAGAAGTATAACATTTGATTGGTTTTGTGTAAGACAAAATTGTTTTCTTAAGAGGCTCAGTGCCAAAATCCCTGCTTTATAAAGCAAAGCGTGCATTCAAGCAGTACCATAAAAACTGCAAATGTATCTTTACCACCTTACTCATTATAGACACAAATAGAGATGGATACAAATGGGCTAGGCTTTGAATATCATTACCTGTAATAACCAGGCATCACAATATGCACGCCTGCACTTGGCTGACAGATGTTTGATACTTCCTGATCATCCATTTTGCGTATAGAGTCTGTGAAAGGTCCTGTAGCATTGATAACACATTTGGCTTTGACATCAAATTCCTGCCCTGTGAAAGAAAACATCATCAGTCACATACCCCATTTGTTTTCCTGCTCACTGACGCTCTGGATTATTAATTTATCTATGAACTTAACCTATTGTAAAGTATGTTGTGTCACTGTAGAGGACCCAAACAGTTGTAATTATTAAAGAGTTAAATATTTCTCTTTTCTACCTTATATCAGATATGAAACAAAGAATAATACCCATCAAAAAAAGCTTTTACAAATAAAATTGAGCATGCTGACTTTTCCCCCCCCCCTCCATTTTTGTTTTGTCAATAAAAGTATCTAAGAACAGATCATTAAAAAACTGGTGATAATTGTGGTTCAAACCCTGAATTTCGTAACAGGCATTATTACTGTACTATATATGGCATTTTACAATGTCAGCTTTGTTTGACAAAAGGCTTTGGGTGTAAAAGCCTAGTCTACCATGGCAAAGCATAAGGATTTAGATGGAAACCTGACAGAAGTTAAAGATGATTGACATCAATGGCATGACACTGCACTTTGGAAATAACCCACCTTTACCAATTAATAGATATTTCCATATCTTAAACATCCACATATTTTTAAAATACATTATTGTGTTTCTTTAATGAACACATTTTGTATTTTCTAAATAGCTGTGTTTTATTCTATTAATCAAAACCTGATAAAATTGATTAATTTCCCCTGTAGATTTTACCCAATGAACAACGTGCTGCAGAATAAGAATCCTTTAAGTATTACCTCTATATATTAAAATATGGCTTAAGTTAGCAACACAGAACCAATAGAAGTCGTTAGGTAAAGTTAGGCCTGACTATAAATATCTCCTATACAGGGCCGGACCAAGCCATTCTGGTGCCCCAGGCAGAGAGTTTAATTGCGCCCTGGGTTTGGGAAGGGCACATGCGCGTCCCCGGCCCCGCCCCTGCCCGGCACGTGGGGAAGGGCGTCGCTGCCAGCTCCGCACAGGACGCATGTGCCCAGCCCGGCTACCGCTGCTGGCACGCTGCCCGGGGCGGGCCGAGCCTGGCCGTGCAGAGCTCCACGGCCGCGGGGGGGGAGGGAGGGGGGAATGCGCTGCTGGCCGGCGCTGCAGGGATTAAACGTGGCCCCCGCCCCAGGCGGCAGCTGCAGGGTGGCTGTTGGGAGCTGCTGTAGCCCGCGATCTCGGAGCCGGGCACACAGCGCTTGATGGCAGCTATAAAGGGTGCCACATGCCCCTTACGGATGCCATCAGGCGCCCCCCATAGTTGCGCCCCGGGCAGCATCCCGGCTAGCCCATGCCTTAATCTGGCCCTGCTCTTAGATTGCAATCCTCATACCTGTTAGAACATCTCTGCATCGTGCACCACAGACACGCTCCTTCCCGCTCTTTGGATCGGTCTTCTTCAGCAAGTGCACCACTTCAGTGTAATTGGCTGTGGCAGCACCATACCTGGCAGCAGTGAGGGCAATGGCAAGGTTCATTCGTGCATCGTTGTGCTGTCCTGCAGCAGGGGACAGAATCAAAGGAAGGACATGAGTCACCTCAAGCCACTGACTTGTGGTATGGAAGTGTGTCAGAACCGATCTGTCACATCTGTCCCTGTCACATTGCATATACATGATGGCTGGTCAGGTCTAACAAGAATTATTTAAAGATACATTGTCTCTTCTAGGTCAGAGCATTAACCTGCTATTTTAACAGCAGAAAATGCAACTTTGTTTAGCACATGGGCATTTATAACATCCGAGATTATTGTCCAACTAATGATTTCTATGCCATACGTGTTATAAAACAAAATTAGCATTCATTCATCCCAAACTTAGGTACAGACAAGACATTTTTGTAAGGCATCTTGTAATTCTGATACTGCAGCAATACAGCATCTTCAGAATGTTTACTCTTGACAGCCCCAGTGGTATTAATTAACAATTTCTATTAGCACAGGCATTACATGACATTCAGAAACCAAGAAATGATCTTTCTGAGATTCCTGCACTAAGCCATCAGTTTTCCATGCACAGATATTTATTTTATGTACATTTCCAGTTTGAAACGAATAATGTTCAGCATAACAAGCATCAAAAAGAAACAGGCAGAGCAAGATTAAACTAATGAATGGCTTTTAACATATATCATTAAAGATTTATGACTGAAAATCTCTTGTTATAAAGAACCAAAAAGGGGAGTGAGGGGGCACTGAGGGGAAGATGATTAATTACTTTAAAATAGTAGCATCACCTGAGACTTTTTTCTATTTATTATTGCCACTGAAGTTAAAATCCTGGATGTTCCCTGGGAAGAATTACTCTACATTGCAGGGGCAGGCTCTGTGTGCCCTGAATAATTAATTTACAAAGGGCTAGACTTATTGGGGTATGGTTCATTTCCACATGTTGGGATCAGTTCTATCAAGATAATACTGACAAAGGGGTGAATTTGTAATGGATATTGTTGTTGATTTATGTTGCCAGCATACCAAACATTTAGTATAAATGGTTTATGTAAAGTTCAGTCCTTCTGATTCTGCCTGTGCAGTTCTGAACCACCTTGCAAATAATCTGTTCCAAGCTAAAAGGGCAAAGTTATAAAGTAGGATCAATGGCTTTGAGAGCTGTGCTTCCCCTCCCCCAAACTTCTTATTCTAACATAGCTGACACGGTACAGTGCAATCCGTCCTAAACTTAAAAAAATATATATCAAATGTTATGTTGATTGTATGAACAGTAAAAGGGTAAAATGACAACTGCCCTGTTTTAAATAATAAATAATAATAATAATTCAGTTGAAGTAATGAAATTAATGCCCAAGAAGTACTGGGTTTAAGATGAGCTAAACAATTGAACCAGATATCAGGAGATGTTAGGAGCTCTTTATAATTGAAACTACTCAAAGCTAGACAACTATCAGAGATGGGGGAGGAATAATTAAACCCTAACATAATGCAGGGGGATAGGTCAAATGTTCCACTGGAGACTAATGCAACCTCCACCTGGTGACATCCTGGAATGCTCAGTAATGCAAATATTGGGCTTCTAAACTGTAAGCATCCTCTATGGATTATCAGTCTCCTGCCTTACAGCAATAGTTCCAATGCCATGCCAGGAAAATAGCAAGAGGAAAGATATTTAAAAGGTAATTGCATGGCAAAGGCTTTCAACTCTTCTGGAGACATTCCACTTTACTCTGGTGCTTTGCTCCAGATGCCATAAAACAGTCCTGATTCATTCAAGCCTCTTCAAACAGAAAATATGAAGGGCCTTCTAGACTGCCTGAGATCTAGAAGGTTATAGATATTGGCTCTGCAGGCATGCTTGGCTCTTGGCACGCCTATCTAGCAGAAAGGTCAGCTTGTAACAGAAGACAAAACAAAACAAAACAAAAAGAACAAACCCAGCGCTGCCGACAAAAACTGCAGGGCCAAATAGGGCATGCAAATAGAACGTGCCCTGCTTTAGACTAGGATGTTATCAATCTGCAGACTAGCAGAGACGGGAACAAGCCTCAAGTCAACTCTCCTGACCAGACTTGAGCAGCAGATGAGATCAGTTCAACTTTGAAGATCAAAGGATGGCTGTTTATTTAGAGCCTTGTAGCACTGCTGGACCTTTATCCGTGTGATTTCTAATAATTTGATTAGAGGAAAGCTGAATAGCTAAATCTTCAAATTTTCATTAGTTTTGAAGACCCTTTGCCAGTCACTGATGTATTTTCCCATTGATAATGGCAATAAAGGCTAATGCTTGGGATGAACTGCTGAATCAAGGAGTGGTTTTGTCAGTCACACAAAAAAGAGCACAATTTAAGACTAACGTTAAGTTTGTTTCATCGGGATACTTTTTCTTAGATCTTGGAAGTCAATTTTTCCACTCTGAATTTCAGTCCTTTTTGATTCCCTAAGTAGAGCGACCCCAATTAACGGAGGAATACAAGGGATGTTAGATATAGTGTAATTGAATAGTTGTGTAACCGCACAAAATATTATCGGTTACATGACTATTCGATAGTCCCTGGGGGTGGGACTGGCAGCCAGTGTGCCGACCCCACTCCCAGGGAGCCCCCGGTGCCCTGCGCTACTGTCTCTGATCATGCACCACCCACCCCAGCCCTGAGCTTCCCACCCCCTGAGCATCCTTTAGGAAGGGCAGGAGGGGCTGCACATTTTGTACAAGAATATTGCTGGCTGTTCCCCTTCATCAGGGAGCATGTGGAAAGTGAACAGTTTGCCTCATTCCTCAGTCTGGCTGGGGAGTGCAGGCAGCAGACAAACCTGGAGATGTCCCAACCAAGATTTGGGAAGGGGGGGGACTTCTCCCCCCCCCACCCTGATTTGTACTGGAACATTGCTGGCTATTTCCCTTAGTCAGGGAGAGAGGTGAAAGATCACAATTTGCTGCATTCCTCACTCTGGCTCAGGACACAGACAGCAGATGAATCTGGACCTGCCCTTGCCAGGGGACATGCATTCCTCCCCAAGCTGTGTCTGCTGCAGCAACCATGGACAGGCGTTTCACACTTGGCACCAATCTGCAACAGAGAGAGAGGGCTAGGGTAGTACTCTCTTCCCGGGGAAGCCTGCATACTGCACCTCTCATCCCCAACCCTATCCCAGAGCAATGATTTAAATGAAGAAAAACAAAAAATAATTGAGTTAAGGATCCGAGCAATGGCAGGTAAATCTCCTAGGGTATGTCTACACTACAGCACTAATTCGAACTAACTTAATTCGAACTAAGCTAATTCGAACTAGTGCATCTAGACCTAAAAACTAGTTCGAATTAGCATTTTGCTAATTCAAACTAGCATGTCCACATTGAGTGGACCCTGAACCGAGGTTAAGGATGGCCGGAAGCAGTGCCGGCAGGGCATCAGATTATGACTTAGAGCATGGAGCTGCTGTCTCAGACTAGCCGAGGGCTGTGGTTAAAGGGACCCGACCCCCACCCCGGACAGACAGTTCTCAGGGGTTCCCCGCTCGCTTGTCTAACTCAATG